ATGTATTTGTATCGTTGAAATCTAATATCATATATATACATATACATATACATATATATATATATATACTTTACTAAGTGCAAAAAAGACTAGAACAATAAATTGGATGAAGTCACACCATCCAACAATAGCACAGTGGATAGAAAAACTTGAATCTATATATGGAATGGAATATATGACTATCCAACTTCAATTGAAATTGGAAATTTTTAAACAAAGATGGGCTATGTATTTGAACCGAACACAGTATTTCCAGCTGTATCTTTTGAAATTGAAAATGATTTATGTCTTTTTGCTATTTGTTTTTATTTACTGGTAGTGTTGCTTGTTTTGCTTTTAAATAACCGCTGCGATCACTGAATGTTTTGTTCTGTAAAATGTTTTCACACGTAAAAATAAGGTTAAAAAAATGCATCATTTGCGTTTTGATAGTTAATTCGGTTGTGTGTTTCTGCAGACTTACTGAGGTAAAAGAAATTCCCCGGAAGTGAAGACTCATTCAGGTTATTGTATGTCAGATCCAGAACCTCCAGTGCCGGAAGAGATCCAAATCCTCGTGGAAGAGTGCTCAACCGGTTCATCCTACATATGAAGACAATAAAATACACAACTTAAATGATCAGTTAAAAAAAAAAAAAAACACATTTATGAAACACTTGTCAATTTCTGACACAGGGGAACCCATTGAAAATCCATAGTGGAGCGACTAAGAGACATGAGACAGAGACATGCAGTCGGCACAGATCCATCTCACTGATTGAGATTGATATTTTAAGCTTAGCACAGATTTATAACACAACTCAACAGATCTGCTCACATTTATAAGCTCAGAGTTAAAGAGGGAGGAGTCTGAAAGTCCTAATTCACAACTAAAAGTGCAAAGGCACTTGAACTTTATAACTAAATACATTTCAGATTATGAATCATAGTTTCAGAATAGCTATTTCAGTTACAATTATGTGGGGGGAAAACAATAAATTCATGCATCTTCATTTAGTTTGTACCACAAGGTTGTTAATTATGAAATATTTCACAGATTTTGCCACAAAGCTTCTTTTTTGTCATTCAAAAGTCTGTGGTCCACGCATTTTTCATTAAAGTCAATACTTTTATTTAATGACAATGCATTAAATTGATTTAAAGTAAAAGTAAAAGCATTTAAAATGATACAAAGCATTACTAATTCAAGAAAAAAAGTTTCTTTAAACCTATGCATTAAAGAATCTTAAAATATTAGTTTTACCTAAACAAATTGTTGGCTAAATAAATAAATAGTTGGCTGTTCATTCCGCTGTTGCGACCCCTGATAAATAAGGAACTAAGCCAAAGAAAAAATGAATGAATAAATGGACCAACCCAACCAATGGATTAAAAAAAAGTGTCATTTAAATTTAATTGAAAATTAACCCAACTTTTTATTTTTATCAGTGTATTTTAAGACGTAACGAATTACATTTTGTCTGTAAAACTTCCACAGAGAAGCCAGACTCTGAAATTAGAAATGCTCAAGATGCTCGACGACGTGGATAAAACACAAGAGAGAGAGAGAGAGAGAAAGAAAGAGAGAAAGAGAAGGGCACCCAATGCGTAAAACATATGCCGAAATAGTTGGCTGTTCATTCTGCTGCGGTGACCCCTGATAAATAAGGGACAAAGCCAAAGGAAAATTAATGAATAAATAGACAAACCCAACCATTGGGTAAAAAAAAAAGTGTAATTTAAATTTAATTGAAAATTAACCACACTTTTTATTTTTTACAGTGTATTTTGGATTAAATAAATTCAGCCTTGATGAGCATAAGATGCATTTTGAAAACAAGAAAATGCTGGTATTTATTGAAAATGAGTATGATAATAAAAAAAGTCTAAATGATGAATAATGAAATAAAAGTTGTTGTCAATATTCAAGTAAGTCCACCAATATTAAAAACGTGTCACATCCGTAAACATTAAACTCCCATTCGCCCTTGAGACGTAACGGATTACATTTTGTCTGTAAAACTTCCACAGAGAAGCCAGACTCTGAAATTAGAAATGCTCAAGGTGCCCGACGATGTGGATAAAACACAAGAGAGAGAGAGAGAGAGAGAGAGAAAAAAGAAAGAGAGAGAGAGAAGGGCACCCAAATCAGATGCTGATTAACTCTTGCTTATTTAAGCGTCTATCCTCCATCTCTTTCTTCCTTTCCAATGACACTTGGCTGCATTGAAGACAGAAACTTTCGGCAGCAGATTTTAAAGAAACAAACAGAATTGATTCCGCCGCATGTTTGTGAAGCAATTACACGAGGAGGTGGAATTGTTTTGACAAATGAGATCAGGATAACGGGCAAACACACACTCACACACATTTGAGTCAAGAGTAGCGGTCGGGAATACAACAAGCCGGCTTATGCTTTCAAGATTATGTGTAGAAATGGTGCGTCTGACAGCAAATCGATAAAAATGTGCGGTATCAGACACGGGGCAGATTGTGCCATGCTTTAATCCTGCGTGACATTGCGGAGGCTCCGCTTAAAAGAGGAGAAGGAAAAACCCTCGGGATTCGGGTGGTGCTCAGGTGGGCTCTGAACACCAGGGGACGAACAGGTGACCAGCAATGACAGACAGACAGAGAGAAATTCTGGCACGGTCAAGACTTCCTAACTACTCAAAAGTCTGTCCCAATAATAGATATATCAACTGCAAGATACAATGGTCCATTTTTGATCATGCAATACACAGGCAAAATGATTAGTTCTCTTAAGAAATTTTCTTTTATTAGTATTTATATTTATTTATAAGTATTACCCCAAGTGATGTTTAACAGAGCTAGGAGAACTTTCTAGAATATTTTCTATAACATTTTTTATTTTTTTATTTTTTTACAGAAAAAGCTTTATTTATTTTAGTTTGACAAAATACACTATCTGACAAAAGTCATGTCATCTATTCAAGTTTTAGAAACAACAAATAATAATTAATATTCTAGTTAATCATTTGGCATCGGAAGGGGCTTATATGAAAGGCAAAGTCCTCTAAATTACACTTATTTTACCAAAATAAAATATGATCATTCCTTGATTTATAATAATTTGGTCACACTTTACAATAAGGTTCATTAGTTAATGTTAATTAATGCATTTACTAACATGAACAAACAATGAACAATACATTTACTACAGTATTTGTTCATGTTAGTTAACGTTAGATAATGAAAATACAGTAGTTCATTGTTAGTTCATGTTAACTCATGGTGCATTAACTCAGAGGTTCTCGAAGTGGGGGTCGGGACCCCCCGAGGGGTCGCGGGACAATGAAGGGGGGGGGGGGGGGGGGTGGGGGGGGGAGGTCGCCGGGTGATTTTCAAAAATCAATTAATTTTTATTAAACCTTAAGACTTACTGTATTTTATCAATAACCTACTAAAGAGAAAAAAATAGTCGTTTATAGTTACTATGAACTATATAGTTACTATAGTAGCTTATAGTTAATAGTTCTATTGGATTGCGACTTCTCTAGTAATTACATTATACTAAAGGCACAGCAATACTTTCAGAAGCAGCAGATCGATTTTATAACACCAGGTTAAACTTTCTAGCCCATTTACAGCACTGACATACATAAAAAAAAAAAAAAAAGAATAGACTTGGGTCTATTGGTGTGTGTGCGTCATTGCATACAAGGTTTCTGTATTTATAACCACCACCTCAGAGAATATTGGGGGTCACGAGTCACTGGCATTGTCATTTTGGGGGTCGCGGGCTGAAAAGTTTGGGAACCCCTGCATTAACTAATGTTAACAAGCATGGACTTGGATGTTAATAATGCATTAGTAAATGTTTAATTATGATTAATAAATGCTGTACATGTGTTGTTCATGATTAGTTCATGTTAGTTAATGCATTAACTACTGAACCTTATTGTATAGTGTTACCAATAATTTAATTAGGACAAAAGTCTTGTCTCTTAACAGAAATATTGTACAGTATAGAATAAAAAGTCATGGTGCAGGGGAAAAATAATTAATATTGTGTAATATTGAGCTTGGCCGACGGCATCCATGCATCTCTGCAATGACTCAAATAACTATTAAGTAGGGATGTAACGGTATTGTAAATACCGTCATACCGCAATATTATTTTTTTTCGATATTACCGAAGTCGCATGACTCGGTAAAACTATAGGTCTTCTGAGAAAATTTGCTCAGGCGAATGAAGCGAACGGGATGTAGCGAAAACTACAATTGCCATCAGCCCATGCTTGACCATCATCCCTTGCGGTCTGTTGTCGCTACAGATCGAGTAATGCGGAAATGGAGTGTGCTGCTAGAAGCGGGGATGAAAAGAGCTGGAAAACTCTAAAGCAGGTCGCACACCAGAAGCGGCGCTCGGCGGCGCGCCGCGCAGCGCCACGCAGCGCCATGTATTTTAGAATTTTAAACATAGGTTTCTATCAGGATACACACACCGGCGCCGCAAGTCGGCGGCGCCCGGCGACGGCTCAGGACGCAGTTCATTTTTCAGCCGCGCCACAGAGCGCCATCTGATTAGTTTCATGTTAAATATCATTCGAATGTGCGCGTCTTACCTTAAACTGTCATGTACATCTGAAAACGGAAGCGGGGCTGCAGACATTCGCCTCTCTGATTGGGGCTTTTCCTGAATATTAAGTAGCCTAACACGCACAGTTCAGTCCTGCATTATCTCCGTGTAAGTTCAGACTTCGCAAGTTTGATCAAGGCTGCAGTCTCTTCTTCTCAGTTTGATATGGAAAAGCAGATTATACCGAGGACACGGGTAAATCTTCAAAGGGAACAGTGTACTTTATAACTTCATTCACATCACCCTGGCTTGTTTCACTTTCTCAACAATAAAATGTAAACATGATTTAAGGAACTGCCTATTTTCATTTTAATATTAGCAACTTAGACAGCAGACATGTTGAGGTGTCGTGCTGCATATATGAGCGTCATCTTCACTGTGTGGATATTTATAACAAAACGGAGCCGATAACAACTGCCTCCTTTCAATTTCAGTGAAAATACGAAACACAGCCTCTCTTTTGCCAAAACACGTTATGTATATATATATATGTGTATATATATGTGTGTATATATATTAGGGATGTAACGGTATTGTAAATACCGTCATACCGCAATATTAATTTTTTTCGATATTACCGAAGTCGCATGACTCGGTAAAACTATAGGTCTTCTGAGAAAATTTGCTCAGGCGAATGAAGCGAACGGGAGGTAGCGAAAACTACAATTGCCATCAGCCCATGCTTGACCATCATCCCTTGCGGTCTGTTGTCGCTACAGATCCAGTAATGCGGAAAATGTAGTGTGCTGCTAGAAGCGGGGATGAAAAGAGCTGGAAAACTCTAAGGCCCTGTTTACACTAATGCGTTTTAGTTTGAAAACGCATAAGTTTTGCTACGGTTACGCCTCGAGCGCCGAAAACTGCTGCTCCGTCTCAGTGTGGATGATGGAAAACGGAGACATCTGAAAACGGAAGCGGGGCTGCAGACATTCGCCTCTCTGATTGGGGCTTTTCCTGAATATTAAGTAGCCTAACACGCACAGTTCAGTCCTGCATTATCTCCGTGTAAGTTCAGACTTCGCAAGTTTGATCAAGGCTGCAGTCTCTTCTTTTCAGTTTGATATGGAAAAGCAGATTATACCGAGGACACGGGTAAATCTTCAAAGGGAACAGTGTACTTTATAACTTCATTCACATCACCCTGGCTTCGTTGTTTCACTTTCTCAACAATAAAATGTAAACATGATTTAAGGAACTGCCTATTTTCATTTTAATATTAGCAACTTAGACAGCAGACATGTTGAGGCGTCGTGCTGCATAAGATGAGCGTCATTTTCACTGTGTGGATATTTATAACAAAACGGAGCCGATAAAAACACTGCCTCCTTTCAATTTCAGTGAAAATACGAAACACAGCCTCTCTTTTGCTGAGTATCAGTTTTAAGAATCGATAATGGCCATTTTAAAAGTATAACATACAATAAGTTTATACATTATAGGAAATAAAGGCAAGCGATCAGTCAATATACAGAATGTACGTGGTTACATTAATCATTAACTCATCTTTGCGCTCAGCCAAAACACGTTACCTGAGAACAAGTAATAGATTCCAATGCCCAAAGTCAGGGAATATGTCGTTAGATAAAGACAACAAGATAAATGAAATATCCCGTTTAATAAATATAGTGAGATTAGATCCAGCGGGAGATGCTTGATGAGAAGTCCGACTAGCAGAGCTCTCATCTGGGTAGATGGGCTGAGTGTGATTAAATGTTGAATGTGATGAGTTTTCAACAATACTAAATTGAAACTTTATTTTTTTACATGGTTTAATAATTTTTTGTTATTAAAATTGAAGTTCCTGTTTAAAAGCTTACAGATAGATGGCTAATTTGTATGTCATTGACAATTTTGGCACTTTTTTGGAGTATTTTCATAACTTTTGTTTTTTACTGTAAATGATTCAATAAATACCGTACCGTGACATTCATACCGAGGTATTACCGTATTGTGAAATTCTGATACCGTTACATCCCTACTATTAAGTCATCTGGAATGGCAAAGAAATCGTTCTTGCAGGACTCCTTGAGTTCATCAAGATTCTTTGGATTCATCTTCAATGCCTCCTCCATCTTCACCCCAGACATGCTCAATAATGTTCATTTCTGGTGACTGGGTTGACCAATACGGGAGCACCTTGACCTTCTTTGCTTTCAGGTACTTTGATGTGGACGCTAAAGTATGAGAAGGAGCGCTATCCTGCTGAAGAATTTGCCCTCTCCTGTGGTTTGTATTGTAATGGGCAGCTCAAATGTCTTAATACCTCAGGCTGTAGATGTTGCCTACCTGATGTATACCTACCTAAATACCTACAATATACACAGAAATAGCACTTATTTGATTGGCTATAGATCAAAACACTGTCGTCTAACCAGCTGCCTGATTAACCTAATGCCAAATAACTTAATTTACCTAGTTAAGCCATCAAATTGTACTTTAAGCTGATTTTTTGCTAAATTGTTGCAAACAATTTATATGGGCTGAATTTAGTTAAAAAAAAATAATAATAATAATAATAATAATTTAGTAATGTTCAATTTGTTTGTTTAAATTTAGATTTAATGTAAATGTACATTTTTGCAACCACTTACCGTATTAGTGAATTCAATTTCTTGCTAAATATTATATATAATTTTTAACAACTGATTTATTTTATCTTTGCCAATATGACAGTAAATAATAAAAAAAGACTCTTCTCAGCTTAAAGTGACATTTAAGTTAATTAGGTTAACTAGTTAGGGTAATTAGGCAAGTTACTGTATCGAAAAAATCGACCATCGAAAAAAATAAAGCTTAAAGAGTGTAACAATTTTGACCTTAAAATGGTTGAGAAAATTAAAAACTGATTTTATTGTAGCCGAAATAAAACAAATTAGACTTTCTCCGGGTGAAAAAATATTATCAGACATTTCCTTGTTTTGTTAAACATCATTTGGGAAATATAATACAAAAAAAAATAAAAAATCTAAGGGGGGCTAATAATTCTGACTTCAACTGTGTGTGTGAGTGTGTGTGTGTATATATATATTCTTGCTTATTAACGTTAATATTAATATTATATACTGTCAATATAGAAGACAAAATAAATTAATTATTGGAAATTAGTTAAGCTATTAAATTACTATTTATTAAATTAAACAAGATGACAAGAGGCAAGATGGAACAAAAAACTAACAAAAAATACAAAACTAAAGTAAAAAAGGTCAAGTAGGTCAAAACAAAAGCAAAGATGAGATGAAAAGAAATAAAAACAAAAAGTTAATGAGAAGAAAAAAGACAAGAGGAGCGAAAACACGAGTAGAGATTTGTACATTTTGTCAATTTGAACAATTTAATGAAGCAAAACATTCATTCATTTTTTTTCAGCTTAGTCTCTTTATTAATCCGGGGTCACCACAGCAGAATAAACCAGCATATTTTTTTACGGAGCGGATGCTCTTCCAGCTGCAACCCATCACTGGGAAACACCCATACACACCCAATCACAGACATACACTATGGCCAATTTAGCTTACCGAATTCACCTACAGCACAGTCTTAGGACTTGTGGAGGAAATCGAAGCACGCGAAGAATGAGGCAAAACAAAAGAAACAAATTATAATAAAACAAAGCAAGAGACAAGAAAAGTAGACTAACCCAAGGTTGAGATGTTTAAGTTTCTGGAGGCTACTGATCTGCGTCGGAAGCTCCTCAATTTGGTTGTTGAACATGTTCAACACTTCCAAGTTCTTCAGATCAGCAATATTTGGAGGCACGGCTGGAAAGAGAGACAGATATGATGATAATAAATAAACAGGATCAATTTTTCAAAGAATCATCAATCTCTGCTGCTATAAGCTGCAAAAAAGGTCACTTTAAGAGGTATAATAACAAAAAATAAATCATAATTTGCTTTACTGTATATACGTGTTCAGAGTAAATAAATGTTTTAAACTAATTCAATTGCAAAAGGATAATAACATACATTAGGTATACCTTTACAATAAAGTCTCATTAGTAAATGTTAGTAATGCATTAAAATCAAAGTTAATAAAAAATACAACTGAATTGTATTAATTGTTAACTCCATTTGATTAAAGGATTATGACTTTAATTTGTTATTAGGTGATAACTAAGAGATTAACATCAACTAAGACTGCTAAATGCTTCTGTAGTTTTTCATTACATTTATTTTAGTTTAATTAACTTAACTAATATAACCTTAATGTACAGAGTTAACTAAAAAAAGGTCTATAAATAGTCACAGAATATTATGTATCAAAACTAATAATGTTACAAAATAAATCTTTTAAGATTAATAAGTCTTTTGAGCATTTGTTGCTGTTAACAACACCAAATACAATACAACAATATGAAGGTCCTCTAAAAAGGTTAAATAATAAACAATACATAATAACTCACAGTACTTTGAAGTGGCCAAAAATTTCCCAAAAAACATGTTATTTTTTTAAGCTGTTTTTGTATCATTTAATTATTTAATGAAATTAAAATAAACAGGTTAAAGGTATTTTTTGTCAAGGTGCAAACATTTAGTCGTAAACCCCGGACTCTGATTGGAGGTGGTGATGAAGAGAGTAAGGACCCATCTGATTGGTCAAATTTAGATAAACAGGCAATGCATAAACATAAATGTCATGCATCACAAATGTCTGCAACACAAGTAGTTGAACTCAATTTTTTTTTTTTTCTTTATCAAATATTTACCAAATGATGTTCAACAGATCAAGGAATTTTTCACAGTATTTCATATAATGTTTTTTTCTTCTGGAGAAGGTCTTATATGTGTTTTATTTCGGCTAGAATAATAGCAGTTTAAAATTTTTTTAAACATTTTAAGGTCAATATTATTAGCCTTCTTTAGCAATATTATTTTTTTTCGATTGTCTACAAAACAAACCATTACTTTGACTTGCCTAATTACCTTAACTTGCTTAATTAACCTAGTTTAACCTTTATATGTCACTTTAAGCTGAATAGTAGTTTCTTGAAAAATGTCTAGTCAAATATTATGTACTGTCATCGTGGCAACGATAAAATAAATCAGTTATTAGAGATGAGTTTTTAAAACTATTATGTTTAGAAACAAAAAATGTTTTTTTTCCATTAAATGGATATTAGGGGGAAAAATAGAAGGGGGGATAATAATTCTGACTTCAATTGTATATTGCATATACTCCATGATCGCGATAACAATACATTTTGCGATAAAACGATATCGATATTTATTGCCCGAACATTGTCAAAAACGATAAAAAAAATTTGGTATGAAGTTTCGGTATGAAGCGGTAAAGCTTTATTAAAATGTGGCTGCTGCAATAAGCTTTGGATTATTGCAGCAGCTTGGCATGTGACGTGTGCGCATTTTACAGGTGCACCTAGCTGAAAACATTTCAGAATGCTGCGTGCGCACCGCGATTCATGCAAGTACAGACATCCCAATACTCCCGGAATTTTTGGGAGTCACAATATGCATAGAGACTCCTATGAATGATAATCTCCCAGAAATTGTGCACCTCCGCCCACTCTGCAAATAATGAAATCTTAGATTGGATTATCGTAATTGATTGTGTTATTAGAGTTTGTGGTTTACAGTGTGATTATTATAGACACCTTACAGATGTTGACCAACCTTAAAGTTTGCATTGATTGTTCAGAGTTGGCACTTTACCGTTGCACACACTTTGGCTGTTTCTCAATATGTGCTCCTGTCTGTATTTGCGTTCTTGTGTCCTCGTGAAACGTCATCAACCGTCGCCGAAGTACAGTTCCAATACAAAGTTCACATCTTGCCAAGTACAGATAAAGTTCCCGGATGTGTACTTGCTCTGCCTCTTTGGCCAAGGATGCATCGAGAGGTGACTTGTGCGAACTTGCAAAGCTCAGGTATCCCAGAATGCATTACAGCTAAACCAGCAAATGCTAAAGGTGGAGGCGAAAACCCGCACGGTTTTAAAAATGCTCCTTTACTATGTCACAAAATAATGTTTTAACAGTTTTTCAGGCAAGAATGTAGTTGTTTTAGGCTCGAATCGGTTTATTCACAAAGTTTATTCACACAGATAGCGCATCTTTAAGCCTCAGCTTATGCAGGCTCCGACTCCCAGCCTGCCAGCTGGAGCTTCGTCATCACCTACCCCACCGAGAGCAGCTTTACTTCGGCCAGTCTATCTCCGATGTACCGCTGGATTTCGTCTCTCCAATGTAGTTAAAGCATGATATTTAATACATCTTGTGTATATCTAACGGACAGTTTTTGGTCTTTTAAATCTATTATTTGTTCTCAGGTGTATTATATTGGCAGTATTATTTTTGTTACGTTTTATAATTGTCTTTAAGTTTTACTGTGTTGTACACTACCAAATTGCTTAACATTATCTTTATTTCTTATTGTGTACGTCTTGTACTTTATACTTGAAATGTTCATTGTAGTTTATTTAATCTGATAATCATAGACACGTGTCTGTGTATAATAACACATTTCACTTCACATTTATATAGATTTATGTTTACATTTTCCTAAATCTAAAATGTAGATTTATAATATCGATACAATATTAATTACAGGGCCATGCTTTATATAATAAAACATTTTATTTTTAATGTACAGTGAAACCAATGAATTCATGGTGAGGTAAGTGACTTTATAAAGTATACTGCTGTTCCATTTGAAGAAGTGCCCGACTTGTGTCCTTGCGTCCTCGGGAGTTCGTTCTTCCAAGTCTGAACTTGGCAAGTCTGAACTACCAAGGACGCAAGTCTGAACGTTGCCTACTTGGTATTGAGAAACAGTCTTTGAGAGTCTTCACTTATTGAGTCTGAGTTACTTTAGCACTTATGTTTACTTTATTATAAGAGACAAGATATTTTAATAATCTTTTTTTTTTACTATTAAAACTAAAAACATATATATTCAATAATTATCAGTACCGAATGATTTTAACTTTATATCGTGATATTTTTTTTTTCTGTATCTCCCAGCCCTAGCCCTGACCACAATATATTTTATCATTAAAAATCAGCATATGTCTAACCCCCATGACAATCATCAAGGTAAAGCATTCCCAAAACGAGTGCCGAGGCCTAACGAACAGACACCCAAGGCTGACCTGTCGAAGTTTAACAGCTAATCATCAAGAGTCAGCAAATACATACGTCCCGTCTTTGATGGCTCAATTATGGGTCATTCCCTCAGCGATAGATTTGACATTTTAATGATGGAGGTTTTTTAGCATATCGAATCAGCACCTTTCCTTCCCTCCTCCCTCTTTTCCTGCAAGGCCATCCTGCCCCGTTTCTGCTGTGGACAGAGATGGATGGGCCGAACAGGCGCTCTATCCGATTACTGGCTGATCAATGAGCCCTCATTACTGAGGAGGGGAGGTGGGAGAGGTTTACACAAACAGCATGACACGAATACCTCCAGAGAGATCAACGGGAGCCGCTCCACCCCAGACAGAGGAACAAATGATTCAGCCGTCACACAAACAATTCAAGACTGCACATGTTCACACTCACACATACACACAAGTGCACATGCTCACACTGCTCTTCAGCACATGAGCTTGATAAGAAATGCGTCACTTTATATAGTACACATTTGCCACTTTTAATACTTTTACTGTTATTATAATTGTTATTATTTTGAAGTTTGAGGTTTAGTTACTTTTTCTAAATAGCAATGCCAATATTGAATTAATGGAGAAATTACTTTTACACATCAATACAAAATACCAAAAAAAAAGTTAATAAATGGTTAAAAACAAAACAAAATACTAAAATATTAAACAAACCCATTTTATGTAAAACAAATATGCACTAATAAACAAACAAAATATATCTTTACATCAAGCCATTTATACATCCTGCATACATGCATGGCCAAGTAGGCATGGGACGATAACCGTTTTCAAGGTATACCGCGGTTTGAAAAAGTCAAGGTTTTAAAAACCACTAAAATGTTCTACTATACAAAATGTTTTTTAATTTACTTTCTTTCTTTTTTTTCTTTTTTTTAGGACAGCAATATCTCCAGCAGTAAAGATATCCAAAGATGCCGTTTGAAATTGTAAAGAAATCTGTGTTTTTGAAACAAACAGACAGCAGAAGTCCATGATTAATTTTCATTATTTAGCCTGACATGTTAACTGTTCCAAAATCATTTAAATGTTTGTCTAAATAAAATATTTCGTGTTCAAAGGGGAAAAAAGTTTTAGTTTATTTTACCCATACATTTAAAAAGAATATATTTTAAAGCAGTATTCAAAATACCGTCAATGCCTATGCCCAAGATTTAAAATGTAAAGAAAATTTATTTACAATTATTATTTGGGTAACACTTAACTAACATTAACTAATGTACCCTTATTCTAATGTATTTACAAACATTACAAATTTATAATTAAAACATTAATAAATAAAGTATAAATAATCTTGTGAAGCATTCATTAGTTCAATATTAACTAATGTGTTAATTAAAATCTAAAGTTGAGCTTGCTAACATAAGTAAATGCACAGCGAGTTAACATGAACTAACTTTATTTAACTTAACATTAACATTAAATAATCTTTGTAAAATAATAAAATATAATCTTTTATTTGATTTGTTTATTTATTTATTTATTTATTTATTTATTTATTTATTTATTTATTTATTATTATTATTATTATTATTATTATTATTATTTTGAAGTCTACCAGGGGGGGGTGGGTGGGAGTGGGTTTAAATATGCACTTGTTCTTTTTTTTTTTTTTCTGAAA